CTCCCTCCCTCTCCCTCCCCCCCCTCCCTCCCTGGAAAATTTAATTTAATTTTCACCTTAGTAAGGTACCCTCATCTCTTCCCGAGATTCTGATAGGCCATGCGGAGGGCTTTTCCCCACTTGAGAGTTGTCACCGTGAGCAGCTCCACGGAACTCCCAAGACATGGTGATTGGTGTTCACAAGCGATGCTGGTGCCCCAGACAGGCCTTCACGTGGAGCGCGGTGGTGTCGGGGATGAGCACCGGGAGGTGGGGAGAGAACTGAGTTCAGGAGGTGGAAGAAGTGACTGGGAGGGGGAGGACCGGATGAGCCTGCTGGCCACATTCGCCAATGCCACGACTTCCGTGATGACAGTAAAACTGTGTCCGCTTGGACAGGGAACTTCATTACACCTCATTCAGCGATGGTGCAGTCAGTCTTTGGAATTGACAGGCTCCTCCGCCTTGGTTGAAGCCATTCAGGACAAGCTTGGGATTTGTACTGAGCATGTAGTATCTTATTCCTGTCTTCATTTCCTAAACAGTGCAGTAAAATAATGACTTACATAGCTTTCACTTTGTGCCGGTTATCATAAGTCAGCTGGAGATGATTTAAAATGCACAGGAAGATTATGTGCAAGGTCCACGCAGATACTACGCCGGTTTACATAGAACTTGAGTTTCCAAGGACCCCGGTGTCCACTGGAGAGGATTGTCCCAGAGCCAGCGCCCTACAGACACCTGCGTAGATCACTGGGCTTTTAGAATGGTTATAACTGTTGCAGCGAGCCAAGTCACAGCCAGGTCTAGCCCTGCAGTTCATCGGAAGGGGTTGGAGGCCCTGCGTCCTGGCAGGCCAGCCCCTCGCCTTACTAGTTCATCGCTTTCTCTGATGTATAACAGTCTCCTCCAGGTTTTATTCTGAAACCATTTCCATGGGGAGCCTCACCCTTGGCTAGAGTCGGTGACGTTGGGTGTTTGCCTAGAGTGGCTGTTGTTTTAGATGCATTGAATACTCAAGGGTCAGCAGAACCAGGGGAGCGGATTATGGAGAGTGAAAACCCGTGCATACATAACCAGGGGCTGTTTTGTTTTACATAGGCGGCGCCAAGCACGACTACAGAAAGAGCTGGCGGAAGCAGCGAAGGAGCCTCTGCCAGTGGAGCAGTAAGTAGAAATCATTTGGTCCAACTCTGCTCTTAATGCTTCGTCTCGTTTTTAATTTTTTTGTTTGTTTTTTTGGTACTGGGGATCGAACTTGGGTTCTTGTGCCTGTGAGACAGGCAGCGGTACCACTGAGCTAAATCCCCAGCCCCTCATTTTAAGTAGTTTTATAATGTTTTCATTTTTATAAAACTACTTTACAGATTTTAGAAAGAGACCTAAAAAGTTAAAGGCAGAAAGCAATTCATAATTCTACCACCACCCAGAAAAGGACACATCTGTCTGATCATTTTTGTGGTGTTTTGGTGTCTTCTAATTTCTCACATAGAAATAACAAACTAAATATGGTCTTCAATCATATTTCTGTCTACTTTCTTGGGATAGATTCATACAAAAAATCGTCTGCTGAAATGAGTTTTGGAAGATAGTTTCCAAATAATGAATTGCTGTTAACACTTAGATCATGTTGCCAAATTACCTCACCAAGGCCCTGTTCCTGTTTACACACCTCGGCAGAAGTGAATGTGAATCCAGCTTCCTGTACACAAATTGCCTCACTGCTTCCCCTTGACACTTTGATCACTCGTCTGCCTTTAATTGGGCCTATCATGATGTGACCTGGCCTGAGCTTTGTTCTCTTGTTTGGTTTTTGGTCTATGACTTTTAAGTGCAAGTTTTACCAAATCTTTGAAACGTAACTGAAGTCTTAGAAACATAAGATCCCTTGGAACAAAAGAAATTGAGTGTAGTGTGCTGCTTTTCCTAATCTGCCTCCAAGGAGATTTTTGCTGGGTTTGGAGCTGTGTTTTGAGAGTGGTGGATATTTTAATAACAAAATGCCTTTTGCTCTAGTTCGGGATAGATTTCTGTTGAAATGTGTTTTGGAAGATAGTTTCCAAATTATGTTTTGCAATGAAAATGTAGGTTGCTTCCTGACAAGTGGAGAGGAGTGGTTAAATTCAGTTAGGAGTCAGTTGCTATACAAAAGAGGTTGTCTCGCTGAACCTTTGCTCTAGATGTGTAGGATATGTGTGTCTCTTGCCAGCTCAGGATGTTTTCCTAAAGCTGCACAGTAGATAAATAGTGGACCTGGCAATGAGAATTGGTTCTTTTCAAAAAACAGCTTACACTGGGTGGGGGGGTGGTACATGCCTACAGTGCTAGGTCCTCAAGAGGCAGAGGCAGAAGGATTGAAAGTTTGTAACCTGGACAACTTAGACCCTGCTTCAAAAGAAATTTTTTCAGTTTTTGAGACAGGGTTTCACTTTGTAGTTCAGGCTGGCCTTGTACATACTCCATAGTCCATGCTGACCTGGATCTCATAGCAGTTGTACCTCGACCTCCTGAGTGCTGGGAACAAGCATAAACCATGCTCCTGACTCACGGTAAACTTTTAAGGAATGGAAGTGGGGAGCTGGGTATGTAGCTTAGTGGTAGAGCACCTGCCTAGCAGGTGTGAGGCCCTGGGTTCGGTCTCCAGTGCTACCAACCAAAAAACACTCCTGCCTACAAGAGTGTCATTTGCCTGTTCCAGTTTAACCAGATGACCAGGTGAGGCATGAAATGGGCCTAGCGTCCTGTCCAGAATAACACGGGAATGACCTGCACTGGGATGCAAACTTGGGTGTCTGGCTGTAGAGGATTTTTTAATCTGCTTGTCAGAGAGTGGAATTTCCGGGTCTGAGAATACATTCATGTTTTTGGAGGATTTTCATAGTGAGTTCAAGTCATTTTTTGGGAGCCACGGTTCCTGTGCAGTTCCAGGTCTTCTGGGGCCGTAAAATACCACATTCCCACTGGCTTGAGCCACTGGAGGTGCCTGCATGGCTGTCCCATTGGGCCCCTTGTACTTCCTGGTGGTGCAGTCATGTGTGTACCACCCCTGTGGTCCAGGGTCACCCAACAGTGAGACAGCTGGGTTGTGGCCCTGTCGTGAATATGTTAGACAGCGCTGTCTGTGTTGTCCTCCCAAGAGCACAGGTGACTCCCACAGCCTTACGTGTGCGAAGAGCAGCCAAGGTCGGGTACCGCCTGGATCTCCTTGTTTATTTTCTTCTACGTCCTGGCCAAGAATGTGGGACGTTGATATGTAATCCTAAGATAAATAAAGGAAAACCAATTTACTTTGACATGGTTTAACTTGCTCGGTAACAAGTTCTTAAGTATATATTCACATAATCTTCATAATTAATCATAGCAAAGGAAAAGTCTTGCTTTTGAGAGGTTAAAATTCAAACAGCAGATGAAGGAGTCTTGGGCTATTGCACTTGATTTTTTACTTCTCTATGAAGATTGCATTTTAGTGGGAAGTCATTAAGACCAAAATAATTACTTGCCTTCCCCTTTCGTCAGGAAAACACAGCTTCCTCCACAGAAAATGGAAGACAGGGAATTCTGGAGGTGTTTCGCATCCGGTAGGATGAACACCAGCAGAGGGAGTGTGTTCCTGTGAGTGGACTGTGCACTCAGTTCAACAGCCTCTCCACATATCGGCAGCATGGAGCTATAACATAAGTGTGAGATGCCCAGAGTCAAAAGCATATGCTGGAATCCCGGCACTTGGGAGGCTGAAGCAGGAGGATTGCCATGAGTTCAAGGCCAGCCTGGACTACATAGCAAGACCCAGTCTCAAAACAAATACTGTAGTGTGCATGTTTCACTCTGGACACTTGTTTTCAGCACCTGGGTTCAAACAGATTCAGTTTCTTTTCATGCTTCTCCAAAGTGGCGGCTCTTCCCTTTTCTCCAGGGAACCCTTTGCTGTCGCTGCCTTAGCCACGTTTCAGGTTGTCGGACAAGAGAGCGGCCTTGGCCTTGCAGAACTGCTTCAGCAGCAAAGATCCCATTTTGCACCGTGACAACACCTCTTGCCCTTCTTTCCAGGGATGACGACATTGAGGTCATTGTGGATGAGCCCTCAGATCACACCGAGGAGACCTCTCCGGTGCGAGGCATCAGCAGAGCGGCTTCGTGAGTAGCCGGGTGGGCTGGGCAGGGAGCTCTGACAGGATGGGGCGTAGCCGGGTGCACCCAGACCCCGCAACCCCTGTGGCCTCTTCCCAGGACACCGGCCCATCCACCTCACCTGCTCCACCAGGGAGAATGGGAGGGGAGCAGCGCCTACGGTCTCTGGCTTCCAAACCAAGGGAGGCTTCCTGGAGGACAGGGCCCAGTTCAGTTGTGTGTTGCTAGAGCAGGACTGAGAGAGTGGGGATCAGTTATGAACACCCAGAACATGTTAGGTCCGTTAGACAGATTCCTATTCAAGGCTTTGTTTCTGGGGGAATTAATTTCGTGCTAAGAAAGCTGCTTTCTTTTAAAACTTCTAGGCTGGATTTCCGTTCTTTTTTTCTTTCTTTTTTTTCCTCTCAGTACTGGGGATTGAACTCAGGCATGGCGCCACTGAGCTACATCCCCGGCCCTGGATTTCCCTTTTGCCTTTCCCATTATTTCCTGGTTCAGACACTGTGTTGAGTCTCAGCTGGGATTTCGGGGCTAAATGAGAAACATATCGACTGTTTTGATGATTATTTGGACAAAATGTTTCTGAGGTTTAAACCTATCCTCCCCTCCTCTTTAGTAAGCGACTCTCGCAGCCTGCTGGAGGCCTTCTGGATTCTATCACTAATATCTTTGGGTAGGTTAGAAGACCTTTCCTTTTTTAAATGTGCATAAATATACTTAAGCATATGTATGTGGGTAGTTATTTTTTAAATGTGCACCCAAATTTCAGTGATGCAGGGAATACAGATGCCTTAATTTTGGCTTTTCGTTTAGCTTCTTCCTTTCTCAGCTTCCTTTCTCTCAGTCCTGCTGCGTGCTGATCTCTGGCCTTTCCCTTTAGTCTGTCCGACTCTCCCCTTTTGGGACATCACTCTTCCGATGCTGCCAGGTGACAGTGCCCCCCCTCTTAGCCCAGCATGCGAATGTGAGTCATTGATAATCACGCTGATTGCACCGCCCGCCCGCAATCGTCAGATGTCCACATGCTAACCAGGGTGCTTTGCATGCTCCTCGGAGTGAGTGCGGGTCACCCCGCAGCTGGCCAGGCTGCACTCCCCATCCGGTCGGGTCGTGTGCTCCTATCTGCACTGTCTCTTTTGGCATGCGTGCAGCTCTGCCTTGGCCACCTGTGTACTGAGGGTGAGTAACGAGGTGTAAACGTCGCCTTAGAATAGTGTCACACACCTCCAGGGGCAGCTGCCAAGCTTGTACTGTAAGCAGACAAAGTCCCCTAGCAGTTGACTGACAGGTTGAGCAATTGTTGCTTAGGATTGCTTTTCTGCGTTGACTTGGAACCTATGGGTCCGCAAGCAGGCAAGTAAAGCTTACGCTAGCTTCCTTTCTTGTCGTCTGAGTGAGGGTTCCTCTGACTTGGTGGATCCTTCTGTGGTGTGAAGGATGTGGAAGGGAAAGGCTGTGGGCGGAGGACGCAGTGTACTGAGGCAGGTTGGTCTCCAAGGCCTGGCAGCTTGGTGAACATGGTCCTCTGCCGTCCTGTCTCACTCTTGCCTTTGTGTTGTTCCTTAGGAGACGCTCTGTCTCTTCCTTCCCAGTCTCCCAGGATGCAACTGTGGACGCTCATCCTGGTCCTGGTAAAGACGTGAGGGTACCGACCGCTGCCCTGTGTGTCTTTGTGAGTATGCCTCCTCCCCGCTGTCCCGGGCTGCCGCCAAGCCTTCCATGCTCACTTACACCAGCTGGCCCTGTCACCTGGGAGGGGCCGTGTATTCGCAGTGTCAGAGCACAGAATGTATAGCTGCCATCCTCCACACCAGGACTGGCCGAGAGATGCGGAATGTGTAGTGTGAGGAACGGGTCAAGGGACAACAAATCCAGTGAACTCCAGGGAGAGGAAGGCTCCAGCAGGTGGTCTGGTCAGGAAGTCCAGCCGGGCAGCTGTTGGTTGCGTAAATGAAACTCCTGTCTGTTGTGATTTCACTATTCAGAGCCTGCATCTGGAAACAGGACACAGTTCTGGGCAGAGGCCACTGTGGCGCCAGATGTGCTGCTTGGAGTTCAGAGCCGGGTTGTGATGCTAGCATAATCCGTGTCCCCACCTGCATAACCAAGCAGAAAGTGACCCGGCGGGGGTGGGGTGGGGGTGTCCTCATACCAGGCTCGAGGCTGTCAAGCACAGGGAGGGGAAGGGGGGACCACAAGGGCTCAAAGTCGCCTGGTCATTGCTAGGCGGGGTGGGGGGCAGCTACAGAGGCTGCTCTCTGAGGATGGGAAGACTCGCCATAAAGATGGGGTGGCAGTTAGACAGTGGGCACTTTCCAGGAGTGAGGAAGCAAGCAGGCCCGGCCTGAGCTGCCCTGTCCCATGTTGGAGGAGGAGTTGGATGGGGGGTGCAGGGCTCTCTGCAGCCCACCCTGCTCCTCTGATTCCATAATGGGCCCGGCCCTCCCCGAGGTTCATGATGATTGGTAAAAGGTCTGATGCACCAAATGTCACAGTCCCTTCCTTGCCCTCGGCTCCCAGCAGCCCCCGTGTTTCCTGGCACAGTGCAGTCGTGTGCTGGGACAGTGGAGCAGCTGATACTCAGGGACCCCGTTGGTGTGTGTTTGTGAGAGTGAACAGTTCACAGCCGACCCAGGTCCAACATGAGCGCTTACTCAGGAGCTTGATGAGTGGCGGCAGGGCGTGGCGGGGCATGATCTCAAGTTTTCAATCTGAGACCTCCATGGGGAAGGCCTTTTTCTTAAAAAGGGCAGGTTACGTGGAGGGGATAGTCTCAGATTCTCAGTAGTGAGGAAAAGGAGAAAATGACATCACCAAAGTGCTGCTCGTTTCCCAGGCAGTAGAGACACTCCGTGTTCGCATCTGTCTTCTGGGACGAATCCCAGCAGGACAGCAGTGTCCTTTACCCGGAAACACTCCCGTACCTACTTCCCAGTGTCAGTGAGTTACAGGGAGGCCTTCGTCATCCTTCCTCTCCTCCTAGAATGAGGTGATTTTTCCCCCTAGTTTTTTTCAGCCAGTATGCCATCTCTTTAGTTCAAGTGTTTCCATGTTTATATTGAGGCCCAGAGACTTCCTGGGAAGCCTTTTAAATGCTTCGGAATAACAGCTGATACTTGTATTGATGGCCTAAACTGCTTTTCTAGATGAACGAGCTGAGGCTGGAAGGAGCGGAGAACGTGGCAAAGGTCACAGCACTGGCACATGGTAGTGGTATTCCCAGAAAGAACTTCAGGGACCCGCTGGAACACTGACGGGTGTCTACGTATATTAGGGGTGATCAGAAGAGCTCTATCATGAGAGGCCATGCGCTACTCATTGTTCAGATACATTGTGCCTAGTATTAACTAATGAAGTTAGTGGTAGAGGGAAATCTAAGAATCTGGAACCAAGGGGGCTTTTTAATTGTAGGCCCTGTTATTTGTATTTGTTTTTGTTTTTTTGAGACAGGGTCTCAGTCTCACTGTGTAGCCCAGACTGGCCTCAAACCCTCAGCAATCCTGCCTCAGCCTCCCCAGTGCTGGGATTACAGGCATGAGCTACCACACCTGGCCGTAGGCCCATTTTTTTTTGTTTGTTTGTTTTGTTTTTTTGTACCAGGGATCGAACTCTGGTCCTTGCACTTACGAGGCAGGAGGCAGAGCCACTGAGCTAAATCCCCAGCCCCCAGGCCCATTTTTAAGCTAATAAGATTATTGAGATGTCATTCTTACCAAATTTTAGGCAGATAGTCTACCCCGAGTTGTTCTGTAACTGTAGGAATAAGTTGATGCTAGAATCATAGGAGGCCCCGGGCTAGGAGCCCACGGTTGGACCAGCTACTGTTTCAGGATGAATGCTTCATTTGGAGGTGAGCGTTCAGGTGTCTTGGATGCTAAAACTGCGCTTGCCTTCCAGGATGCGCACGACGGGGAAGTCAATGCTGTGCAGTTCAGTCCAGGCTCCCGACTGCTGGCCACAGGTGGCATGGACCGGAGGGTCAAGCTGTGGGAAGTATTTGGAGGTGAGAGCCCATTAGCATCTGCGGGAGGGAACTGTGCTGGTGGCAGCTGGCTGACCTTGCTTTTAGGCGCTCTTCGAATTATTTATCTTAGAACAGCCTTTTATGTAAGGAGTCACCTGACCAAGCATTACTAGCATTTTGGTTTCTTTTTACGTCTGAGTGGATGTGAGCTCTGATTTTCCAGGTAGTGACCAAAAGCACTGGTATTTAGGTTAGGAAGTCTTAGGTGATTTTTCTCATTCTTACCAGAACATCTTGCAAAGCAACATCAGTTTTAGAAGGGAAGTAAATCTAATTTTTTAAAATTTCTGTTCACGTCTTAGAAATCACATCTTGGATTCTGAAATATAGTAGTCAGTTTGTACAAAGTGATAGTTGGCACAAAGACGGATGGTTGTGAGGTAGAAAGAGTGGGTAGACACAGTTCTGGGGCAGGCTGTGTGGATGTGGCCCGGCTGGCCTGAACATCCTGAGTCAGAGTCTACTGACCATGAGTCACCCCGGCTTCCCTGGCCAGAGGTTCGAGCCCAAGGCCCTGCCAGTGCTGATGCCAAGGATGGATGGGGCCATGGGGCCGGCCAAGGGCTGCGGAGACAGGGAGTCCGAGTGCTGAGGTGAGAGTGGCCCTAAACATCAGATCCTAAAAAACTTTGTTTTTAAAAAAAAATAAAATAAAAGTGACTAAGAAATAGCGGAACTAAGTAAACTGAGTTTAGTTTGATTGGCGTGTTTATTAAGTCCTACACTTTCCTCTTTTTGTTGTTTTTATTGTTATTGTTGCTTTTGTTTGTTTGATGATTTTTTGAGACAGGGTCCCACTGTGTAATTCAGGCCGGCCTTAAACTCTGTAAAGCTCAGGCTCGCCTTGAACTCATAATTATCCTCCTGTCTCAGCCTCCCAAGTACTGGGAATACAGTACTGCTTGTGCAAGAACAGGCACAGGCCAGACAGGCCTGGTAGCACACACCTATAATCCTGGCACTCAGGAAGTTCAGGCAAGAGGATCACTGTGAGTTTGAGGCCGGCCTGCTCTACACAGCAGCATCCCAAGAATACATATGGCCCCGCATAGTGGTGCACAACTGTAATCCCAGCACTCGGGAGGCTGAGGCAGGAGGATCGCTGTGAGTTCAAGACCAGCCTGGGCTACATAGTGAGTTCCAGGTCAGTCTCAACTACATAGTGAGACCCTGTCTAAAAAAAAAAAAAAGAACACATACAAAATGCCATGGTCTGCATCATTGTTGTTAAAGATTAACAGTATATTTTGTCTTTCGTATTCTGTCCTGCAGTTTGAATCTATAAAGGTGCGCTATTGGGACAAAGTAATTGTCTTTTGTTGTGTTTCATTGCCCATTGAGACTCTGACTGACTTAACATCCTGCCTTTCTTCAATCTTTTCTTTTTATACAGACAAGTGTGAGTTCAAGGGGGCCCTGTCTGGCAGTAATGCTGGAATTACAAGCATTGAATTTGACAGTGCTGTAAGTATCTGGTATTTTAGGTTCTTGAAATTAATAAGGTCCTTATCTGGTTTCTCTGCCATTCCCTCTATTTTAAGTCAATTCCATGTTAGCTGGGTGTGGTGGGCACACCTGTGACCCAGGAGGCTGAGGCAGGAGGATGAAGGCCAGCCTGGGTTACATAGTGAGCTCGAGGCCAGCCTGGACTACATGGCAGGACCCTTTCTCAAAAAACCACCAAAAAACCCATGTTGTTAGAGAAAGGTGGAAGTGGGTTTTAGGACTGATTAATACACAGACTGACAAACCCTGAGATTTAATTTGTTTGTGTGTCAGGTTTGTAACATCCCTAATTCCATCTGGTAGCTGTGTTTTGTGTGTTGAGATCTGTGCCATAGGGGCCCACATGGTCCCTGCCCTCAGGGAATCCCATTGAAATGAGCAGTGAGGGCAGGGGTTTAGTTCAGTGGTTCCTCTGCCTGCCTTGCAAGTTGCAAGGGCCCAAGTTCGATCCCTGGTACCAAAAAAAAAAAAAA